TTTGTTAATTACGTTGGTACGGCTCAGAGATATATATTAAACTGTCAAACACCAAGCGGTCACCGGTGACCGCGATCTATTGTTCTTTAATTGTGTCTATAAAACCGGTACTCGACGAGTTAACTAGCTTTTACCCGCGGCTTCGCTCGCGTCACAAAAGGATAAAAAGCTGATGTGACATATACCAATACACATAGCCCCATCTATACCAATATGTACTTTTGTTTTCCCTCGGGAATATCAAATTTTTCCGGGACCCTATTATTTAATCCGGACTTCTAACTTTACGTCTGCAAAATTTCAAAGCAATCGGTTTAGTAGTTACGGCGTTAAAGTGGAACAAACAAACACACAAACTCACTTTCCGATTTATAATATTAGTAAGGATAAGGATAGTAAGGATAAGGATAATATAACTGGAATTACGCGAAGAAAGCTCCGGCCAGCCATTTGGTTTAAAAAAGTATTCTATTTTTAACTAAGCCATTTGAATCTGGTGATATACAAGTAAGTACGTACATCCCGCCTCACCCAGGCGGAAGTAGCCATTCGATGATTTTTCCTCATTAAAAAAAAAAGTACGTACAATGGTAATGATTGTCCAATAATATTTTTCACAGTACATCCAGCTACACCAGACACATGTGCGCCTAAAGACAAACCTATTACAATTATTTTGTTAAGGTTTACGCCGCTAGCCACCATGGTAGATATAGCTTGTCCTAACTCTGCACCAACCTGAAATATTACACATAACATCACACCTTTTTATCCCGAAGAGCTAGTTTAAAACGTGTGCTGAGAAACTCGGTTGATCGTTATTGTTTGTAAGGTCTAATTTTATTGTTGTTTTACATGCAGTGCAGTGATGCGTTTATTGCTATGACCTGTTTTTATTATTTAATTTACTTACTATTTGGGTATTTTGAGCTGCTGAGATATAATTTGGTATTAAAACGTTGCCAGCTTCCGTCGGCCAGTTAACAACTACGACAGACCAATTACTATTGCTTAAGGTAGTTTCAACAAATTCTTTTGTTCCTTGAGTTGTTTCGCTACCCCTGAAACCAAAGATCCAGATAGCTATTGTCACATCTAGGCTCACATATCCCTTATCAATGAGCTGTGTGGCATTAGTCCAGCTAACTTCTATTGAATTGTTGAACGATCTGTAATGAAAAGAAAACATATACCTATCGCTTGGTATTAATAATAAACAACTAGATTCTTTATTAACTAGTTTTTCTTAAGGCTGATTAAGACTGTTAGATTAGGCTTAATGTTAGAAAAAAATGTTGCTTACATGCAAGTATTAAGAGTTTAGAGTATGAATAAATCATTGATTTACTGATAAATCTGCATCTACAATTTCGTAAATACTCTTAGGAATGTTAAGAAAAAGGGTATAGTGCCAAATAATAAATATTTTTTGTTTGTATACACCGTGAAATCTATTTCGTTTTCATGCCAAAGTAAAATGAAAGCAAACTGCGAAAGCGGATACGAAGTCATAGTACATTATCGAAATATTACGCCTGTATTTCTCGAAGAGGTATTTCCCGAATAGTGCCTACTATATGCATAGTGTTTCATGCTCCATGCAACTATTTTTTAAACTAGACAAATGACATCTTTATTTTTGTTCCATTATTTTGTTTATTTTGTTATTAAAGATTCCCAACAATATATATATAACCTTACTTATTATAGGTACATACGTATATCATATGACAGAATTGTGATAGAATTACACTTACTCTTTGTAACCTTTGAGAGTCCAAGCTCGTATGCATTGCAGGATAGCTGTAAAATTCAAGACAATAATAATTAATAAAGTATTTAATTTTATTTACCGAAAACAGAGGTTTCACATAAATGTATTTCATATAACATTTCATATATATATACAATTTTTGTGTCCTTGCTGTAGCTTCTGTTGCTGAACTAGGCTTACCTATATTTCAGCAATCAGTGGCTCTACCCTCGGATATTAAATGATTGTAAAAACATTAATGTGACAAAGAAATTTATTTGAGTTAGTTTATATCTCTTAGCAAAATATAATAAAAAAAATATTAGTATTGGAGACTCGGTTACCAAAGAAGAAAAAAAAAATTAGTAAGTGACGTATGTTTGTGTCTGTAAGTGATTGCGTATACGATACGTGTGTGTGTGTGTAAGTTTGTGCGTGTGTGTGAGTGAATGCGTATATGTTACGTGTGTGTGTGTGTGAATGAGAAAGAGTATGAGCCACAGAACATATAAAGAAGATATGTTCTGTGGTATGAGCGTAAACACAGATGCAATATTATGCTACAACATTTTTTTTCGAAGGACAAGGTAAGGTGAACCAAAGATTCAATTAGAGGTAAATATAATTAAATTTTTATTGCTAAAGAATAGCGTCCGCGATTATTAATTAAAAGGATGTTCGGTTTTCAAGTTCTTAAAATATTTTTAAGAGGTTTTTAATATCTAAAATCATTATTATTTTTGCGTATCTATCATGGAAGGACAGTCGTTATAATAAATTTAAAAAATGGAATGGACATATCTTTTTTTAAAAGTTAAATGTATCTACATCAATAATAGTATAAAGAGGAAAATTTTGTTTGTTTGTATTGAACTACTCCGAAACTACCGGACCGATTTGAAAAATTATTTTACCGTTGGAATCCTACATTATCGATGATGAACATAGGCTATAACTATTTAACAAGATAAAAAACAGAAACCATGTAAAAATTTCGATAATGTAACCCAATGTGTGAAAAATCTCCGTATATTGTTTAAGCCTTTGACTACCAATAGAAAACTGTTTACGAAAACTGTTTTAAGGAAAAAATCTATTAACTAAATGCATATATTATTCATGGACTAGTTTCTGCCCACGGTTTCATTTGCGCTCTTTTAAAGTATTTTTTTAAGGGGGGAAAATCATCGAATTACTGCTCCCGCCTGGGTGAGGCGGGAGGGAGTGTCTTACTCTTACTGACTAAAAACCACCCCGTTCCTTCTCCTGCACGTCGAGCCGGAGCCACGGTAATCTTTTAAAGTATTGAGGGCAGGTTTACAAAAGATAAAAAAAAAATTTGGTGCCTGATGTTTTGCTGGTCACAAATATGATACCAATTTTAGGTTTCTTGAAAATTACGATATTCTCCATACAAACTTCCAATCCCTATTTGAGGGGGAAGTGGTGCGTTAGAAAGAAACAAAATGTAGCCTATATGCTACTTGCAATTCTTTCAACTACCTCCACTTAATAAAAAATCACGTCAATTTCTAATAACACAAACAGACACGCACAAAGGGCATTGACTAAAATTGGTACCTTTCTTTTTTCTGGCGGCAGTCGATGATTTATGGAAAATGTTATCTAGAATGACATTACTAACACAATTGTCTATGGGCTTATATATGGAAATCTCAGTCTGGACTGAGTTATGAGCGTTGAAAAAAGCTGGAGTCACACATTTTAGAGGTTCTTCAAATTGCGCGCAACTGTACGCCGGGCACAGGAACACCATATCACACCACAATATATTCATATTGCCGGGCGCTAATTTTTATTAGCTATTTTTTCTCAGTCGATAAGTTGTGGGATGCTTCTAAGAGTTGTGTCATGAAGCTTTATGAGCGTCAGCTGTGGTACTAGTGGTGGGTTGTGTAGTAGTAGCCGTCCAAACATCTAACAAAGTATTTTTTTGCTGTTGACTCCTGGTGGGAGACTCATCTACTTTATAATTAGCATAATCGATTTAAAGTCAGATTTTTTTATACGTAGTTTATAAAATAATTAGATAATGTTTATTTATTTGTAACACACACAAGATAACATTATAGGTTTAGGATTGAATGCGATAACAAATGATTATAAAATCTAGCGACACTTTACACCACATTATTTTGTGCCCCGTGTGTAATTATTTTAATATAAGTTGAGTTTCCCCTAAGTGTTGTCGTTTTTTCACTCACTGAACCTATAGTACAACAATTATAAGATTTTGTGAAAACCGCGGGAAACAAACAGAGGAGAGATGCAAATAACTTGATGACGGAAAAAGAGAAAACCTGATGCCTAGTACCAAGAGAGCACGGGCTGAAATGATGAAGATAGCGATAATTAGAAAATATGACACTTACCAAAAAGGAACACGATAGTTCTGAAAATATTCAGAGCCATTGTGATGAAAATTTTGTTCGAGAATAAGTATTAAAAATCACTAATATAACAGTTATCGTGCTACCAGGACAGCAGTGCCCTAGAGACTTGGGTTCACGTGCAAAATGCTCCTTTTAAATAGCCGAATTAATGCCAGCAATAATATCTAACTTATTGCCGTAAAATAATATTATTAATTACATCATATTAATTAGGTACGAATATTCAGTGCATTGAATAAGTCACAAATAAATCAGCATTATGTGGACGATGCATATTTATTTTGTATCACATCCGCAGAGGAAACTGATCCTTATTTCTTACGACATTGTGCTATATCGAGCTAAATATTGGCAATCCTAGGACATTTCGGTTACCTAAAATTAAGACAAAAGATGTGTTACTTAATGTGAGAACAATAGAAGGAATTTACTGCATAACGGGAATTAATTATATGCTTCATACCTCTGTAGGCTAATGAGCCTAGTCACTGTAATGTGAATACCAATGACGACAGAAATGAGCAATTATTCAAATTCAATACTTTTTTAAATGTCAAAAAATATACATTTGCAATTCTGTAATACTCAACTGCACTGTGACAATAGTTTAGCGTAATTACAAAATTTATCAGAGGATTAATTATAAATTTTTGACACATTCTCCATACAAAAACCGGATTAATTTAATTCTACGAATAAAAACTATCTATTTATCGAAAAATCATATTCAAGTACAAGTAGGTATTATCAAATCAATTAAGTAATAGAAAAATACAAAGCACTGATGAGTTGGAATCATTCATTTTTATTTTCGGAAATATTAACTCTCCATTTTACACAGGTGTTGTTCCATTTATGCCTAAACCATAAAGGGGCTCTGCATTGGTCCGAAAATAGTAATTTCCTTTGGCGCTGGAAAACGAAAAATATAAACAAGTATATACGCTGCATGTGTAGCTACACAATTGCTTAATAATTTATTATGTACTTTGTATAGGCAATCTTGATCATTTAAATGATGGGAGTATCATTCCAAAATAACTGTATGCACTTACATAATTGTAAAGGTAAGAAAGAAAAGAATGAAGAATTGTTTATTTGCACAATTGTTGAAAAAATAGTGTAGACGGTGCAAATAGGCCAGAGTACAGCTTAAATGCCGTGACCCAAACGCATTGCTCGAGTCGCGGCACAGATTTTTACCACTAGCCCGTAGATTATATATGTATTGGCACATAGATATACCTAATTATGTGAACAAGATTTTTGACAAATACCGGCTATAGTTACGAAATTATCGGATTTTTTTTTTTCGAAAATTAAACTACCTTTACTGAACCACACCGGGGTTATTCGACTATTTTCGATAATTATTTGACCTTGCCATTAAGGTAGGTAACCATATAGTACTTGGTAAGTAGGTACTGTTATTAATTAGCTATGGCTTCCTTTATTCAAATAAAACTGGGAATAATATAATACAGTGAAACTTGGTTAAGTGGCACCTGGATAAGTGAGAAACCTCTATAACTGTTACTCATGCTGAGGTCCCAACACTTTGGCACTAAATTACCTCTGTTAGTGGGACGAGGTAAACCTCTACATCTGGGATTTGTTCTTTCGATTTATCATAATAGTTACCTCTATAACTGAGATAGCGAGTAAATTTTTATGCATAAACCTCTGTAACTGAGATAACATTGTTTGTTTACTCATTCTTATTCTATCCACAAATTCCATACGTAATTCCGAGTCCACCCCTATTAATGGAATCCTCTGTAAATGAGAGAGATATTTATTTATACCTGTATATCTGAGACACTGGGTAAGTGGAATACCTCTATAAGTGAAACGACATTGCAGGTCCCTTGATGTCTCACTTAACCAGGTTTCACTGTAATATAGGATAGATAATACATGTTATGAAATTAGCAGCTGTTCAAAAACTAACCTCTGGCTTGCGTTATAGCCGAGACAAGTGAGGTTATTTGGTGTTCCCCCTGAGAGCAGCCAGGCAGCTCCACTACTTGCCTGATTGCCTATAATTGTGCAATTATTTATTATGTTTTCTATCCAGAACTCCACCGACCGGAGGTGACTGCAAAATACTGGGAACAAAAAACAAAACAATCGCGTTACTTCTTTGAATTTGTAAGAGAGCCATGTTGCATTGCAGTTTGCATATATTCGTTGCTTGGAAAACGACTTTAACTCGTAAATGTCCGATTATGAAAAATCCACAACATTTGTTCATACAAAAGTAGTCTCTAAACATCGGAAATAAGGTCTATAATGAAGCTAGCGGAAAGCGTTCACCACTAACCGCTTGGGGATTGATCAGTTAAACATGTTATCAATATCCCGTGAATGGTAACGACATAATAATAATAATAATGCATTTCTACGATGGTACATACCTATACGGAAAAAATTAAAGTTTTCAAACAAAAAGATAGGATTTAACAAAGTGTTGGCCAAACTACACCCTGGTTGGTAACCGTGCGATGTATAATATGGATCGTTAGCGAAGAAGTTTTGTGTTCCATAGCTGCCTGACACACCGAACAGTGACATATCTGAGTGGACAAGGATCACACTAGAGGCGTCAGTTGATTTTATACATCTAAATATTTGGATAGGTTCGAATAGGGGCTTCGCTGCGTCGAGACCTACGATCCTGCAATCAGAAATAGCATTACTATAAAATAATCTTATGTTATACTCTTATATCCTTGCTAATATCCTTACTAATATCCTTACTATCCTTACTAATATTATAAATCTGAAAGTGAGTTTGTTTGTTTGTTTGTTTGTTCCACCTTCACGCCGTAACTACTCAACCGATTGCTTTGAATTTTTGCAGACGTAAAGTTAGAAGTCCGGATTAAATAATAGGGTACTGGTTAAACCCGGAAAAAAATTGATATTTCCGAGGAAAAACAAAAGTATTGGTATAGATGGCGCTGTGTGTATTAGTATATGTCACATGGGCTACTTTTTATTCTTTTGTGACGCGAGCGAAGCCGCTGGTAAAAGCTAGTTATGATATAAAGCAAGAATTTGTTTGCTTGCTTGAACGCACTGATCTCCAGAACTACTGGTGCGAATTGTAAAATAGAACATCACGCTATGATGAATAGGTGCCGAGCAAAGTAGGTGAAACTGCGCTAAAGAAGTTGAAAAAAAATTTAAGTTTTGATGCATGTTTGCTAATTACATTAGAACGCTTGGATCGATCTCGATAAAAATTTGCACAGAGGTTGATTATATAACCACTTTTCTGTTCACTTTTTTCCAGATAATCCTGCTGCTAGAGTCTCATTTGTAAATATAATCTTAGTATTATAACTTTCGTGAGACATACTAAATTAATTATTATGTTTTCGGCTTATTCACGTAATTATTTGATGAAGAACTCGACTAGTTACTATAGTAGCATCTACTGACAGTAGCAGCGCGACAGTCACGGAATGCTGCTCATGAATATGAGCCTATAGCTTAGCTTGAAATTAGTTGAGTTCCTGGTCAAATAATTACGTGAGTAATCCGAAAACATAACATAATTTATATAATAAGCCTCGACATCCATCTCAGGAAGCTGGCGTTAGGTGGATGGGTCAAGGGCCTGATACAGATGACAGTTCTCCTAGAAACGACACGTATCGTGAGGAGGTTTATGTCTCTGGAGCCCTAACCACCGGTAGCTTGGACCATGTTCCCGCTATTGGTCGGCTTATATTTTTTATAGTTTTAAATATTATATTTTATTTTGTAAGTAGATTAAAAAATGGAATTTGTAGAGAATTTTAAATAAATGTATGTAAATATAATATTAATTAAATTTCATCATCATCATCAACAGCCTATAAATGCCCACTGCTGAGTAAAGCCTCTTCTCACACGGAGAAGGTTACAGCATTAATCACCACGCTTGCTCAATGCGGGTTGGCGATTTCAAACTTATAATTAGAAATTATAAGTCCAGGTTTCCTCACGATGTTTTTCCTTCACCGTTTGTCAGTGGTGTCTAAATAATCTTAGAAAGTACATATAACTCGGAAAAAGTCACATTGGTACTTGCCGTTGGTAGGTTTCGAACCCGCACCCTCTTGCATGAGAGGTGGGCGCGTCTTAAACCTCCGGGTCACCACGACATATAATTAAATTGGCCCTTTTATAATTAGTAATGTGACATACAAGTACGTACAACGGTAAAGGTTGTCCAATGATGTTTTGAATAACAAAACCGGCTCTACCACACATCTGTGCGCCTAAAGAGAACCCCACTAATATTACGTTGCTTGGTTTTAGGCCGCTAGCCACCATGGTAGATATAGCTTGTCCTAACTCCGTGCCAATCTGAAATATTACAATAACTCAAAAGTAACACATTACTTATTACACTGTTAATGTTAGGTTCGTATAACTTGGTATTCATGTCAAATACACAAAATTACATCATCACGCCTTTTATCTCCGAAGGGGTAGGCAAAGGTGCAAATTGTAGCACTTAATGCTACTGAACAATGTAACACCCACTTTTCACTATTTATGAGCGAGCCTATTGACACCTTGTACCTATTGACACCTTGTACCTACTGGGAACAATTCCAAACTCCGTGCTACTACTGAGAATTAAAAAAAACCCAATGATACTTTGCCCGATCCGGGAATCGATCCCGAGACCCTTGCCCGGCAGTCGCACTTGCGGTCACTAATTTGACAATTCTGTGATTACATAAATTACCTAATATATCTAACTTTTGTTTCCTTTTTTTAAACCAATATCACATCTGTATTTAGTAGTACTATTTAGTTATGCCTGCCAGGGCCCACGGCGGTTAAAATTATTATACCTACCTACACTTTATAGTAATGTTAAAGTTCTTTACTTTTAATAATAAAGATGTTTACAAACCGTTTGGCTATTTCGAGCCGCTGCGAAATAATTTGCTAATCCACCAGGATTAGCTTCATCCTCCCAGTTAACGAGTACCATAGACCAATCAGTATAGTTTAAGGTAGCTTCTATAAATCTGTCTGTGTCTTGAATGTTTTCGCTACCCAAGAAGCCAAAGGCGTAGAAAAGTGTAATGCCTTCTAAATTAACAAATCCTTCATCAATGAGCTGTGTGGCATTGGTCCAGCTGACTTCTATTGAATTGTTAAATGACCTGTAACGAAAAGGAGAGGTGCAGTCTATGATACAAATATCAATCATTGCCTGTCTCTCTAAATTCTTTTTGTTGTTTTCCTCTTGAATCTATACTATCTATACTAATATTATAAAGCTGAAGAATTTGTTTTTTTGTTTCTTTGTTTGTTTGTTTGAACGCGCTAATCTCCGAAATTACTGGTCCGATTTGAAAAATTCTTTCTGTGTGGGATAGCCCATTTATAGAGGAAGGCTATAGGCTATAAAATATCACGCTACGATAAATAGGTGCCGAGCAGAGCGAGTGAAACCGCGCGGAAGTAGCTAGTTCTTGATATATAGTATGCGTACGAGTACCAAGTTTCATTGAAATTGATTTAGTGGTTTCCCAGATTAGCGACTTCAAAGTTTACTTGAAAATCGGTACCATGTAAATGCTCTTATGTAGGTATATTTTTTATAGTTGCCCTTATAATATTTGCGTGCTGTGGGCGCTATCAATCGCGACAGCATTTTATGGATAAGTATGAGAGAGCGATACTTCGGCTCAAATTGGCCGGCGTCTCCGGATGATACCAGATATAGAAAACCAGCGTGATATTTTTTGTCCAATCGTCTATCCTCAAATCCCGAGCCCCAAAACGCCATCAATTATTTGTAACACCTCAGGTGTTGAGGGTGTCCATGGGTGGCGTCGATTGCTAACCATGCGCTGATCCGTCTTCTCGTTTGCCGCCCTGATAGGATTGTAATAGAAATTCTATGAGTTTGTCTTACCCCTTGTAGCCTTTGAAAGTCCAAGCTCGCGTAAATTGTAAAATAACTGAAAACGTTAATACAAATACATAATAATCATTTAAATTATTGTAAAGTTTTTCAAATATTTTACTTTTCTAATAATATGTAAAAAGTGCAGTAGTTAACTACATATGTTTTGCAGTACCCTATTTGTATAAACCTTTAGATAATTATAAAAACAATTAAAGGAAAACATCTAAATAAGGAATACTTAAGTCTAAGAGAAATATAGAAAATGAATATTGCAAAACTTACCAGAAAAGAATATTACCACTTTCCAAATTTTCTGAGACATTCTGACAGAATTTCGATTTAAATGTCGCAAGTATTTAGTTACAGCGTAGGTAGGCAGTGACACTTCTTGCATATGAGAAATGTCTTTTAAGTACTAATTAATCATTTTCTTTTATACCAAAGTTAAGTGAAATAGTTAATTTACTTCTTACTTAACCTTCGCTATACATAAACAATTAATTTCGGTTTATTGACATAGGTAGGTAATGATAACACACTTTTTTCGTTAAAGATATCTATATATTAGGTACAGGATGATTGCTTTTGTTATTAACACGTTTTAACAAACTTTTAACAAACTTAGTGCCGATTTATCAATCAGTTTATTCTTAACTGTAAAATAAAATTGACATTTGACAATTTTAGAGTTGGAAGAATAGTCAAATATTCAAAGTTATTCCTCTGTTATAATTTATCTGGCGTTGGAAAATCGATCCGTAACGAGTTGTAAGAAACTAAGCACGTACCAGTAAAAACAAATACTTATAATTATTATAAGTTGCTCTCGAGCAAGTGTCAAGATCGATTTCTCCGTAGGTAAAGGATTACTATAATTATAAGCAGTGTTATAAGGTTTTTTCATTAAAAATAACATGCATTTTGACATGACGCCCCATGTATTTCTTGCTGTATACAGAATACCTATTAATATACACAATACAGAAAATTATATATTTTTTACAATGTTCATTTCTACTTCTAGTTTGTGTTTATTAACGTAACGTAGTTAACGTAACGTAACAAAGTTACAATGCATTTTTTTTAAATCACCCTGTGCCATGTGCATGTACCCATGTGTACATATTTATCAAAAACAAGCTGGGTCATTGAAAAATTCGTTTGTTAAAATCAATTAATTTTATCTATTCCATTTATCATAAAAAGTAATAAAAATAGAGGTGATAAATTCACCTTTATTTCAGGTAGGTAGGTCAGGTAGGACTCTAGTTTTAGAAACAAGCCAGTCTTGCCGTCTTCTTTTTTATACTAAGTTCTATTAGTACCAAACCAAGTTTACGGATCGCCTGAACTGATTGTACCTTACTCTGCACCAGGGGCGACAAAAGTGCGTGGTCATCCATGCAGGACTGTTCAATTCGCCATAACTTTTCTACTCTTACTTAGTGCAATTTTTCTAATCTTACTTCAGATCATACTGTTTTTTTTATGCTTTGTAGGTCGACGTTTGACCACCATCTCGCCTGATGGTAAGCGATGATGTGGCCGAGTAAACAACAACTTGTAAAGGTTCTTGAGCTGTGAAGTTGGTGTTTGTGATAGAAATATGTGCTTATTTTATGGCGCACGTTAGGGCGGCGCGTCTTACGTCTGCGATGAGCTGTCGATCCGTTTGCTCCGTCCGTTCGCCCTTGCCTCGGCCCTATTCCATGATGCCTAAATAATTTTAGTAAGTAACTCAGAAAAAGTTACTTTGGTACTTGCCAGGTAGGAACATTATATTTTGCATAACATAACATAACATCACGCCTTTTATCCCCGAAGAGTAGGCAGAGGTGCACATTATGCCACTGTACAATGTAACAAGTGGTCGCAAGTGCGACTGCCGGGCAAGGGGTCTCGGGTTCGATTCCCGGGTCGGGCAAAGTAGTAGTAAAGTAGTAGCACGGAGACTGGAATTGTGCCCGGTATATGGCAATAGGCTCACCCCCTATTACATGGGGACTCATAACATAAATAGTGAAAAGTGGTGTTACATTGTACAGTGGCATAAGTAAAGTGCAGCTCTGCCTACCCCTTCGGGAATAAAAAGCGTGATGTTATGTTATGTATAAATGTAAATGAAACAAAACACTTGTATGCAATAGGCATGTCTTTTATAGGCAATACAATAAAACATAATGTATACAATATTACGATCAATGTATAAAATCATAAATGAATATTAAATTTAATTTATTTAAAAAAATAGAATATTTAGTGGTCGATTCATGTACCCAAGCTAAAGCTTAGAAACACGCCAGTAGAATAACATTGTCCAATTGTAAGTATCAGTATCTGGATATTCCCTAAATATATAATTTGTCAAAAATATCAGAAACGATAAGCTATTTCTCATATTTTTTATAAGATTGCATGACTTTGACGACATATTTTATTATTAACTTATTAGCACATTTTTTGCTTATATTTAGTTAAAACACATATAATTTGTCTGTAATAATTTACACAAATAAGGCAAAAATAATGTATTGATAAGTTGAAATAATTTGTTTTCTATTTAGGAATCATCGTGATTCTCCTTTTATTACTCTACCTCTATTTAAGATGGCCTTGTTCCATCTGTGCCTTTACCGTAAGGGGAGTCTGCGTTGGTGCGGAAATAGTAATTTCCTTTGGGGCTGTAAAATAAAAAATAAATATTATTTGACTTAATAAATAATAATAAGTTCATAGTTAGGTAGTAATTAAGTTAATAATTAACTCGTCGAGTACCGGTTTTATAGACACAATTAAAGAACAATAGGTCGCGGTCACCGATGACCGCTTGGTGTTTGACAGTTTAATATAATATGTACTTAATAGACTTGATGATTATGTAGTTAGGTATAAGCTAAATTGCTGCGCCCTAACAGGGTCATGTAAATCAAATCAAATCCCTTTAATGTACTGTACTAGTAGGTATGTAATACCTCTATGTATGTGCATTGTGCAATCTTTATATATAATTCTTCTGTGAGTGTGTATGTTACAAAACTTCTTATAAACGACTGGACCGATTTTGATGAAATTTTTTGTGTGTGTTCAAGGGGATCTGGGAATGGTTTAGATTCACAAATCAGCCCGGCAGATGGCGCTGCAGTCGATGTTTAGGTTATTTTTCTTAAACAGCTGAACTAATTTGAATGAATTTTTGTTTATACATTAATCAATTTTCTATTTGTTACTACACACTGTGCCATTATATTATTATTACTTTTCCTGCTCCAGGTCCACAGGAAGAAATTCCAATAGGAATAGGTGGCACCTTTGTACTTTAATTTTATGTATGTGTTGTCCTTTATGTACACACATACAAATGTGTGTACATAAATAAATAAAGTGGATATGCAGGACAACGTCTGTTGGGTCTGCTAGTAAATAAATAAAACTCAGGAGTTATGTTAAACTTACCTTGAGGTTATGTTGTAACCGAGACAAAGGAGGTTTAAGGGTGATCCCCCTCTGAGTACCCAGGCAGTTGCGCTACTGGCTTGATTGCCAATTATCGAACAAATGTTCTGTATGGTTTCTATAAAGTAGTCCACTGCCCTTCGGTGACTGCAAAATACTGAAAACAAAAAAAGAAAACATGAACCCTGTTCATGAAGTTGAAAGAGTTACATACAAACAATATGACTAATAAATTCAAGTTCATATTAACTATGACTTTATCAAATTTAAGTATATATAAGACACCATAAGATTAAAAAAAATATTATTAAAATTTTATATGCTGTGTAAATTACACTTTCATGCTTTGATTTTTTTTTAAATAACGTTGTAGTTCAGTGTTTAGGTAGTTCTACCTGGAATGTTTTCCGGGAGTATTGAGAATCAGCATTTTTGTAGATTTCGATGTGCATTTGTAGAGCAGTCGTAGATTATAATTTCGAACGAATTATTTGCGATGCACTTCTGTAGATTTATTACGAGCATTTATGTTTAAAAATAACGACTATGACATATCGATGGATGCTCAAGATAAAATAGATGTCCTATGTGTGGTTCATCAGAAACAGCTAAGGGCCGGAGATTGTGCCATGTTACTAAAGTATATACAGCAATCACATGAGCGTTAGACTTATAAAAGACAGCACTATAAAAAAACACACCGCTGTCTTTACTTTCACGTGCTGTGGAAATTATTTTTTTCTCTAAATGCTCATAAAAATGTACGGTGCTCTGGCGCCAAAACTACTTATATTACAAAAAAGTTGTTAGATATAAATTGTAGAAAATTGTGAGTAATTAAATTTTGTAGTCATCAGTAAAAAGAAACTGTTTTTGGCCGCCATTTTTCCAAGACGGCGGCGTGAGCGGCGCACGTACAAAGGTGCAAAATGGAAATCGAAAAGAGCACATCAAAATTTACAAATTGTCGATTTTCAAAACTGCTGGAAAACTTTCCAGGTGACCTCCATATTTCCGAACTACTGATATCAATATTTTAATGAATGAAATGGATACGTACGTGGAGCAGTAAAATCAACAGTTTGAAATGCAGTGATTGCATCGGGCAATGTTTCAAGTAAGCTACATCCTGGTTGGTGACCGAATGTCGCATAAAATTGAGGGTTCGCAATGAAGTTATGTGTTCCAAATTTACCGGACATACCAAACCGGTACTCATCTGTTTGGACTTTTAACACAGTTGTAGCGTCAGTTGATTTTATACATCTAATGACTTCAGGGGTTTCGAATAGGGGCTTCGCTGCGTCTAAACCCGCGAGCCTGCAACCAGAAATAATTATTAAATATTTGTCAATTCTACAGTACCAAATCCTACAGAGGCCTAATTAGAACGAAATAAATAAATCGATAAAATTGTTAAGAAAAGAGACACTCAGTTTCTGAAAGACAGAAATCAATTAACACTAGTGTTAGATTAGATTTACTAATTTTATTAAATGACCAAACTTCGGCCCATAAAATATATATAAAAAAATAATTTTAATTCTTAATGTATTAGTCATATAATAGGGTAGACGACTAATTTTTATTTTAATGTCCGTCTGGTAGATTATTTAAAAACATTAGACACGTATTTTTTCTTTTCTCACAGAAACGAATAGTTTCGAAGATATATTGATTTGAAATGTCGCGTGACGTCACTTCTCAGTACATTTTATACTAAGAAATGACGTTTTAGCCCCCACTCCTAAACTTTGATTCGTTTTATCTAAGTATTGTTTTATTATACGACAAAATAAAAAAATACGTGTCTAATATTTTTTCATTACCTAACTTACGGACTAATTATATTTTTAATTTTCGTACCCTGTCATTATCCCCATTTTGATATTAATCATCGGTTACCACCAGACGACTTTTTACATTTACATTTGTATTGAAAATATACTCGGTTAGATGTTTGTTAATCACGTCGGAATGGTGACGATTCTGAATAAAAATTGACTCAAAGATATATTAATAATACAATCTGGAATAAGTCTTCTTTTTTCCCAGTAAAGCGAAGAAAACTCCGGCCGGTACTTTAAAAAAGTATCTATTGTATTAATTAATTTTGCCCTTTGAATCTGGTGATATACAAGTTAGTACGTACATCCCGCCTCACCCAGGTGGGAGAAGACCTTCGATGATTTTCTCCCATTAAAAAAAAAGTAGGTACGTACATTGATAATGATTGTCCTATGATATTTTGCACAGTAAATCCAGCTCTACCACACAGCTGTGCGCCTAAAGACAAACCAACTAATATTGTTTTGTTCGGGTTTAGGCCGCTAGCCACCATGGTAGATATAGCTTGTCCTAACTCTGCACCAACCTGAAATATTACACATAACATCACGCCTTTTTATCCCCGAAGGAGTAGGCAGAGGTGCACATCACGGCACTTAATGCCACTATTGCCACTGTACAATGTAACACCCACCTTTCACTATTAATGTTATGACTCCCATATAATGGGAGTAAGCCTATTGCCATATACCGCGTCAAGTCCAGACCCCGTGCTACTACTAAAATTTTCAATAACCTAAGAACAATTTGTCCGATCTGGGAATCGAACCCGAGACTTCTCGCCCGGCAGTCGCAAGAGCGACCACTTAGTCAACGAGGCAGAGAAGAAATGTTACAATAACTCCCATCACCTACTTACTAAACATACCTTATTTCACATAGCCTTAGCCATCATCATCATTAGCCTTTAAGTGCTCACTGCTGAGTAAAGACTTCTCTCTCGGAAAAGGTTTAGCATTAAACACTACGATCGCTCAAAGCGGATTTGCGATTTCAAACTCCTGGAAGGTTTCCTCTCAATGTTTTCCTTTGCCAGCTGACAGACAGTCTACTTTAGCATATTCCTGCTTATAATTACGGTTTGGGTTTGCTCACGTGAAATAAACTTGCCTCGTACGAAGCTCATGATTGTGCGACACGGTATGACTTGAAACCAATAGAGCGTCTTTAACTCGTCGAGTACCGTATCTATAGACACAATTAAAGAACAATAGGTCGCGGTCACCGGTGACCGCTTGGTGTTTGACAGTTTAAACAATTACGTGATACTCAGTCGATTGCTATTGTTTGTAAAAACTGATCTTATTGTTGTTTTACATATTAAAAACACCCCTGTAGTTCAGTGGTGCGCTTATTGCTGACCTGTTTTTCGTTATGTTATTTACTTACGGTTTGGGTATTTTGAGCCGCTGAGACATAATTTGGTATTAAAACATTGCCAGCTTCCGTCGGCCAGTTAACAACTACGACAGACCAATTACTATTGCTTAAGGTAGTTTCAACAAATTCTTTTGTTCCTTGAGTTGTTTCGCTACCCCTGAAACCGAAGGCCCAGAAAACTGTTGTCACATCTAGATTCACATATCCCTCATCAATGAGCTGTGTGGCATTAGTCCAGCTAACTTCTATTGAATTGTTGAACGATCTGAAATTAAAAGAAAACATATACTGATTACTTTGTAGGTTAAAAATAAACAACTCGTTTCTCTTTTATACATACATACATAACATAACATCACGCCTTTTATCCCCGAAGGGGTAGGCAGAGGTGCACATTTTGCCACTGTACAATGTAACACCCACTTTTCATTAGCCTAATAAAAAATTTCATTTTATCATTGTTATGAGTCCCATGTAATAGGGGGTGAGCCTATTGCCATATACCGGGCACAATTCCAGACTCCGTGCTACTACTGAGAATTTTTAAAAACTCAGTAATACTTTGCCCGACCCGGGAATCGAACCCGAGACCCCTTGCTCGGCAGTCGCACTTGCGACCACTCGGCCAACGAGGCAGTCTTCTCTTTTATCTAGTTTTTCTTAAGGCTGAATGAGGCTGATAGATATAAGGTTAGGATTAAAGTTTTATTTTATTTTATTTTATTTATTTGGGAAAATTAACAATTATACACTATAATAATACATTATAACAAATATCAAAGAATAGAATAAATGTATAATCAACGACATTCTCCACAGAATACAAAAAAAAAGTAGTTAAAAGAAGTCGTACAATTTAGGTAGGCACACTACATACATAAATTCACAAACAAAACTGATACAGTCATAAACTATAGTTTACAATGTGTCTAAATTATAAATTTTTACATCGGTAAAAAGGAAGCGATAACATAATTAATCAAATACAACAGTTAATGAATATGCATTGTATGTTTAAATGGATATATAAAAAAAAACACCTTAAAAAAATGTATCTATGAAATAATTATTGAGTCCAATCATTACCAGATTCCCGGACAAGGTTTCTGAATTTATTTTTAGACGCTGCGAACAAATCAATGTGGCTAAAATATTTATTGTACTGATCAGCGATGCGACGTAAAGGTGCCCTTAAGCCTGCATTAGTATGACATGAGCCAACGAAGAATACAGGTTTCGAGCGCACCCCACGGCTCACTATTGTTCTGGGCACTACATACCGCATTCGATTGGAAATGTCCATACAGTCATATGCATTGTTACATAAATCATACAAAAACATAGTCTCCAAAATTAATCTCCTAGTCTGAAGACCGGGAAGTTTGTACCTTTTAAGCAAGTCATTATAGCCTGCAGCCACACGAAAACAGCGATGATGAACAGCTTTTAAAAATTTATTTTGTATTCTTTCTATACTATTTGAATATTTAATATAAAAGGGATTCCACACCGGCACCGCATACTCCAACTGAGACCTGACCAAAGACTTATAAAGATATAAGTATGTACTTGGGCGTAAAAACTCCGTTGACGATCTCATCACAAACCCGAACATACGATAGGCGTTGCCGACAATCCTACTTATGTGTGCATCTAGGTGTAGTTTATCATCCAGCAAAACTCCGAGATCACGGACCATGGGCACTCTCAACAAAACAGCATTATTTAGGGAATACGGATATCTAATAATCTTTTTATTCTTTGTGAAACTTATGCAACAGCATTTTGGAATGCTAAGTTTTAGTTTATTTTTATCGCAATATTGACCAAATCTATCTAAATCTTCTTGTAATAGCTGACAATCCTGAAGGTTTTTATGGTTTTAAAAATTTTTAGGTCATCTGCGTAAAGGAGTAATTTGGAATATTTAAAACAGTTGTTTATGTCATTAATAAACAATATGAAAAGAAGAGGCCCAAGAATCGATCCCTGAGGTACTCCAGATGTTGCCTCTATCGTAACAGAGTTATAACCATTGATAACAACCCTCTGGGTTCGATTTGAGACGTAAGAAGCAAACCATCTCAGCAAATCGCCGTGCACACCATTGAAGGCGAGCTTAGCCAGGAGAAGTTGGTGATCAACCTTGTCAAAAGCTTTTTGAAAATCTGTGTATATTGAATCGACCTGTAAACGCGAGTCCATATTATTAAATAAATAATCTACAAAATCAACCAAATTAGTTGTAGTGGACCTTCTTTTTACAAATCCGTGTTGTTCCTGTATTATTTGATTGTGAAAGAAGGGATAAACTTTATCATGGTTAGATAAACAAAAAAATATTTTGAGTACATGCAAGTACTAAGAGTTTACACATGAAAAAAATCAATGATTTAGGTACTGGTAAACCCTAGCATCTAGAATTATTTCGTAAATACTTTTTCTTAGAAATCTTCTTCGAATTCTTCTAATTCTAATTTCTATTTCGATCTTTTCTAAAAATATTTTACAACTAAAAAGTTGTCATCTTCATTTTTGTTTTTACTTTATACGCCGAGAGGCGAAAACGAAATAGATTTCACGGTGTGTAGTGATTCATTCAACAGATTCCGATTTATAGTTGACACGAATAAAAAAATATTTGACGAACGGTTATACATATTTCAACAGGTGGGTAGAGAATAAAAGCAACCAGAAGAATACTTCTTGATACATATGTATAATGATAATGCAATCCAATAATTTACCTTCACACGTGTTTCTGTAACACGTGCTTTTTAGTCAAATACTATTGTTTTTAGATACAGGCTTGCGGAGATTGCTTATGAAAACCAACATACAAAATGTGTGGCGTGGTTTATGATATCATCGAAATTTCTTATATTGGACCACCCCTAGTTCAATACGCAAGGGTTGTACTATTTCTCAATAATCTATCGCGGCCCCAGCTCGGAGCAGGAAGTAAGTCCAGTCAGTAAGAATCTGATATTTTCATACTCCTCACTCGGGGTGGGAGGAGCCATTTGATGATTGGGGTTTCTTAAACTAAATATGGAATGTTATTTAACCGTATATTCTTATAAAATAAAGAGGTAAACTTAAAAGTAAGTTTAAAATCTGAACGGTAGCCGGCTAAGGGTAGCTATGTGGGGTTCGGACCAGGGTTCGACGTTGTCAAACTGCTGAGTCCCCAAGCGGTTACCGGTAACCTATCTCCACTTACTCCATTATATACCTTATTTCCGATGATTAAAGACTGCTTTTGTATGAACAATGTTGTGGATTTTTCATAATCGTAGAAAGGTTATTTAGCAAGACAGACTATATTACTACTACCTAATTTTTATGGGTTTAACCTTTCTTTCAGTTTCTTGCTCGTTCTTGCCCATATTATATAACTTTTCTCATAGAATTACATTATGAAACGAATAGTTTCACTTAGGGACTGACAGACACACAAATATGCTTATTTTTGGTATCGTTGATTGTGTAATTTTTTAACGTTTTTGTTGTGAGTAATAGAAATAAATAATTTGTTTATGACTTTACAGAAAAAATCCATATAACTACATAATATCTCTTATTGTCCTTTTAATGGCAAAGCGGCCTACGCATCATCTGATGGTAAGCAATCGGCACCGCCCGTGAACACCCGAACACCTGAGACACCAGCGGCGTCACAAGTGCGTTACCGGCCTTTTGGTGATTATGTATTTGAGGATAGTTGTGCATCCAGGGATTGGGGAGACTGGGAAGAGGGGTAATTGGGTTAACCTCACTCATACGACGTGAAACAACGCAAGCATTGTTTCACATCGGTTTTCTGTGAGGCCGTGGAATCGGTCTGATCGAGCCGGCCCATTCGTGCCGATGCAAGGCTCTCCCACACTTATTATCGATATCATATGACAGAATTGTGATAGAATTACACTTACCCTTTGTAACCTTTGAGAGTCCAAGCTCGCGTGCATTGCAGGATAGCTGTAAAATTCAAGACAATTTCAGTTACACTTAAGATCAAAATAAATTAGCAATATTTTTTCGAAGGTGCAACTAAGATTCAATTGAGTACCTATAGGTAATTCCACGTACGTTTTATTGCTAATAAATATCATTCGCGTTTATTAATCAAAGGGATTGACTTGGCTTCTAACTTATCTCTAAAATCACTATAATTTTTGCGTGTACCTTCATGGAAGTATAATAGTCGTTTTCATAGAATATTTTTAGATAATTTTTTAAACAGAATGGACATAATTATTATTTTTGAACAAAGTGAAAATGTATTTGAACATAAATAGGTACTATATATTATGTAAAACTTACCGAAAAGCACAACTACGGCTGTCCAAATGTTTTGAGTCATTTTTATAGATTTTCCTTTAATAAGTGTTGGACTGTTAGAGGTACTACCAGAACTGTAGCACCAAGACTACTTGCCTTAGTATGAAAATTTTCTCTTTTTATGCCAAAATTAAGTTGACATTTCGGTGTAGTTACGTTGTATTGTATTTATTGATATCTATAGATACAGGTTGATTGTTTTTAAATTATTTCGTTGTTGAACCGTAGGTTACACTTCAGTTACCAATTGTAGGTAATAGGTATGTTCAGTGTTGTATAGTGTTGTGTGTGTGTAAATGATAAATAACATACAAAAATGTAATGGTTTTAACCGACTTTAAAACAGGGAGGTGTTTGACATGTGTAGGTATGTATGGTGCCCTTATTATCTCGTAATTGATTGAGCTTACGTAACCGCGGCTTTAATGTAAAGGTTGCACCGACACGGTATAGGTTAGTACCATCACTTTTCACAGATTTGTTATAGATATATCTACTCCAATATATTTATTATTGAAATTTTTCTGAATATTGGTGTTCTTGCGACGTTTTGCGTACCTAATTTAATACAAAAGGTGTCGTAAAATTGTACGCACAGAGAAAGTAATGTAAATTGTATTGTCTATCATACAAACTTAATTAGGTATTTATATGCCCCATAAAGAAGGCTCATTCATTTGTTAAGGTATTTAGATTAGTGAAAGGAAAAAACGCATTTATTTGACAATTAGATTATCACGAAAATACATAGAATATTATAAAACACAAATGCTGCCGCGCAACGTGTCGCGGGTTCGATTCCCGCACGGAATAACTCTTTGTGTGATCCACAGATTGTTGTTCCGGGTCTGGGTGTCATGTGTATGTGACATTGTATGTTTGTAAACGCACCCACGACACAGGTGAAAATCCTAGTGTGGGTCAACGTTTAAAAAAAAAAC